TCTCTCTCTCTCTCTCTCTCTCTCTCTCTCTCTCTCTCTCTCTCTCTCTCTCTCTCTCTCTCTCTCTCTCTCTCTCTCTCTCTCTCTCTCTCTCTCTCTCTCTCTCTCTCTCTCTCTCTCTCTGTACGCGAGTCGAGAGCACTACTAAAATGCTACACGAGCGGAAGGGTCAGCTAGCCAAAGGTTACAGGGAGTGTGTTCTCGCGAGGCTTTTACCGCCGAGTATGTAGTAACGGTACATGTACACCGCTTGTATAACACTACGGTATCCAGGCAGCCAGCCGGCTATTCACGCTGTAGTGTGTGTGCGTGTGCGCGTGTGTATGCCGTTTCGTAGGTGAACAGAAACCCGATATACATATTTCCCCGCGATATATCGTACGATATTGCACATGCATCCATCGTGTCCTGGCGAGAACCGATGGACGCGTGTGGTCGCTCGCCCCACGGAAGAGCGAGCCCCAAGTTGGGTTGGTCCCCAGGTTCGCGCGCATTTCTGATCTTCGAAGGGAGGGACACGCGTAAAAGACGCCCTCCACCGTCCACTTGGCTCATTTGATTCTTTTTTTTTTATTTCGCACGCGTTAGACGTTAATCACTGGCGTGACTTTCCGGACCAGCCCGGCGCATCATCTCGTCCATCGACGAGTGCCGTTCTCCACGCGAGAGCTTGTGCGAGAGTGCCTATAAATAGCGACGAGAGGCGACACGTAGTCGCGTCGGCACTACGCGCTTTTCGCGCTTGTGCGTCGCTCAACAGGTAAGGGGAGAATCGCACCTGCTTTCCGCCGAGGCGACGACCTGACGCAAAATTGACGACGCATCCTAAAAGAGATTAAAAAGAAAATAACAGACGAACGGAGGAGACGAAGCGACGAAGGTAAACCGAACGACACGAGCCGACGAAACGGAAACACGACGTATAACGCGCATTCCGAGAAGGTTGATCAAAGTGAAGAGCACTTTCTGTACCTCATCCTGGAGTAACGCTGAAGGGCTTTAAACCTGGAAAACTGATGCATATCTCTCTCTCTCTCTCTTTCTCACACACACACACACACACACACATGGGATATAAAGAGAAAAACCATGTATTCTCTCCATCATCTCGTGCGCATATCTTATATATCTTATATATCTTCTCCTCTCTTTCTCTCTCTCTCTCTCCCTTTCTATCTTTCTTTCTCGTTCTCTTCTTTCCACTCATTTCTCGCATCTCCTTTCTGCGCTTGCTATCGGTTGTAACACAGGAGGCTGAAATCGGCAGCGGTTGGAGTAAAAGTTTTGCCTCTAACGCTTCACACTGTGATTAATCCTGCACCATATCTTACGGTAGAATACACGACATATCCGCACTTGCACCTCCCACTGTGCATCTCCCCATTCACTGGAGTTTTCGCTAAACGGCCCGTTTGATGGTCGACGATTGAGACGATTTCTTCCCTCCTGTCAGAGATTAACTAGATACATCTTTTGCGTGTCCCCTTAAAGTCGGATGTCTCGGCTGGGTCGGTCGTCGACTCGGAAAAAGTACTATTTGGAATTCAGTGAGGGAATAAAAATTTATCTACCTGTATCTGCGCACCAAAGAACCGCGCACGTGTCTCGGGACTTTCGTCAACAGAAAATCGTTTCAACGTGCCGTCATCCATCGCGCCTGTTGGCAGACACTCCGCATCTCCTCACATTCTCCCGTCACGATAGAAATCGATCACTCACCGTACTTACACGCACGAACACGCACCTGACCACCACTTCTCGCCATCGCCCAGCCTTATCGCAATCACCGATAAACCTATTCTTTTACTCACACCATCGAGCCACGCGTAGCGTCAGCACGTCGTAATAGATTAGGGATTTCCGCTAGAGGAGCGAGGGGAAAAACGGAAAACGGTGTCGGGTGCAGCGCGCCGAGGAAACAGAACCGGTTGCGAAACGTCCGTTCTCGGCCGCCGAGAAAAAAGAAATACAAAAGAACAAAGAAAGAAATTAACAAAAACAAAGTATACCACACCATTCTCTATTCCATTCAGTTAACAGGAAGAATCCGAGTGATGAAGAAATGGTTTCATGTTTTTCTCAAAAACAGATGGGGCCGCGGCCAGCCGGATGATATCGGTGCGATCAATCTAGGAGACGAGAAATTCGACCCCGACTCGGATAAAAAGCCGCGTGCAGGACAAATTCTATGGATCCGTGGTCTAACACGGCTACAGACACAGGTAACTATCCCTATCTCTCTTTCTTTCTCTCTTTCTCTATCTATCTATCTTTCTCTGTCACTCTGTCTCTCTTTCTCTTTCTCATTCTCTCATTATCTCATCATTCAACAAGATTCAATATTCTCTCGATTCCTCTCTATTCACGAAAAACAGAAATAAGAAACCCAACAAATAATAATTAAAAAAGAAAAGAGACCGCCCCCGGATCCAGCGGGTCCAGGGTGGTGAGACCACACGAGTCACATACGGTCCTCTTAAACGTTTACGAAACTCTCAGGACTCTTTCTTTTTTTCTTTCTTCTCTTTTTTTCCTTTCTTTTTAACAGCGCGCGGGCGGCCATTCGACGCTCGTACGCACGTCGAACGTACGCGCGCGCGCGCGTGCGTATTTCTTTTATCACCAATATCGAATACGTATACAGAATATAATTAAATCCACTGCTACTTGTATACTACTACCACTACTCTACGTATTACCACCGACGGCGACGACAACAGCGAGCTGTTTAAGTTTTTGACCGTTACCTTGGTTTGCATTTTCATTTGAGTTCCACCGTTACCGCGTTTAGAGGGCCGCGGCGCGTTTTTTTTTTCTCCGCACTTGGACCCGATTAAAAGAGAGAACAAAAAACCGACGACCGTGTGCGATAAGAGTGCCTCAACAGACGATTGAACGCGTCCAAGTAGACGGATCGTTGACCGCCCACCATCGGCAAGCCGCTCGTGGGAGCGTTGCGGGAAACGATCTCTCGCCGAGGGAAGAGCGGAGAGCCACGCCACGCGATTTTCACACCACGGGCTCTCCCGCTCTCCCCTTCGGAGACGCGACATCGGACCGTGTGCCTCTTACCAATTAGGTACAACACGTGCACAATTTCATGTACATATATACATATTTATATCTATATATATTTCTAAACAAGTAAACTCAGTGTGTAAGTCTTACGCCGATAAGAAGCTAGGTCTAATCAGTCATGTCATTATCTCAGGTAGGGGAAATCGATCGCGGGCATCGATCGGCCGGAGATCGGTCGATCGGCCCCGCGATTAGGGTGACAGGACCGAACGTAGAGAAACGGCAGACAAGAGACGATAACGCGAGTAAAACGTTTTACCTCAACTCGTTACGACTCGACCAGCGTCACTGTTCGCGCATGCACGACTCTTCGACGAGAACGACGCACTGATAGGGTTGACGCACATACACTTTACACACATAGAGACCTGCCGTAGTAAACGCACAAACCAGTGCTTGTTCTCCGCCCGTATTCTTCCCCCCTCGTACTACGCGAGTACCGGCGATGCGGGAGGGTGGCGGGGGACAGTTGGGACCGGATCTCTCTTTATCCGTGGGATTTCCATGGGAAATCAGCTGTGAATCGAAATAATACGAATGCGGGACGAATGCATCGTCGGAGACGAAGAGCACACCTTGGTAATTCTCTCAGAAGATGCCAAAAGAGACTCTTCTCCCCTCTGCATCCCACGTCCAACCCCCCACCCCCCCTCGACATCATACGACGTTCGCCGACGTTCTTTTCGTATCTTGAAGTCGTATGAGAATTAACCGAGTGCCCCGCGGACCAAAGCCTGTACCAGTCGGTCGGAGAGATCGGATTTGTGAAACGGTGCAGCCCAGACTCGCCGGTTGTTTCGATCCGCTCTGATTCGATCATGCAAGTCGCAACGTCCGCCTGGTCCCGGCTTCTCCCGATCGCGGTGCCCCTCCCCCACATCCCTCAGAGAAGATCGCGAGTGTCGTGACCAATGCGTAGGGAGAATAGAACCACCAGCATCACCGATCTCTGATCGGGTCGAGTCTCCTGATACTACTTCCTGGCGTCAACGAGCTTTCGACCTAAAGCACATATATATCTTACATATATTTGCGCGTACATATATATATTACATATATATATTATATATACGTTTTCTTGTCCCGTACAGCTTGCATCCACAGTAGTTCTCCACAGACAGCCAGAACCAACTTAGCAGTGGTCCACGCAGTCCTCAGCCAATCTCTCTTTCTATATTCTCTCACTCTCTTTCTCTCCGTTTGTTCCCCCACCCCCCTCGGCCCCTCTCGCCCGATATCTGTCACGCTCGATTTCTCCCCTTTTCCCCCTTATATACGTTCTATACCCCTTTGGTCCTCGTGAAATTACGTGTCAGAAATGCTTTCATTCCCTCCACTCTTTTTCTCTATCTCTTTCGCTCTCTCTTTCTCTATCTCTCTCTCTCTCTCTCTTTCTCTTTCTTTCTCTCTCGGGAGGGCACGTCCGGAACCCCGAAAGTGTGTGCACCACTCTTCTCCGAGTCCAGTGATCGATGTCTATGTTTCCGCCGATCGACGAACTCGGAATACTCCTACCCCCGGGGGAGGTTCGCCCCCTTCAAGACTGTTGTCTCGTAAAGCATATACCTATATATATATATATATACTTCTCACCGTTCAAGCACCATTCTTGGATATATTCAAGTGACGTTAAGCAGGATGTTAATCGACCCCACGTGTAAGCACCTCGTGGTAACTTTCTTCGCCGAACTTTCTCTCGCAAGACGGTCTTTACACATCGACTCCGCCATACGATTTTCCCTCACTCGCCGTTAAAACGAGCGGACTCTTACGTAACTCGCGCCGGGAAACTCGCGTAAGTAGGTGTAGCCTGTCCCTTTCTCCCTCTCTTTTTCTCTCTCTCTCTCTCTCTCTTTCTCTCTCTCTCCTTCTTTGTACGTAACGTATCTAAATCCGTCGCCTGCCGGTTACACGTAATTAGCCGGCAAAACGAAACTTTCGTTGTCGCGCGTTGGTTCAAGAACGATGCGTAAAAGATTCATCCACTTCGCTATTGTCCTTAGCCGCCTTAGCCGCCTGCTATTCCTATCGATTTTACGTTGAAGCGGAAGGCTCTAACTCTGTCGCAGAAGTTAAAGCAGACGGTGCCGAACGACGGTGCGTTCGCGTACGCGTCGCGTTTACGTCCGGTAATCTACTGAGAACCGCCGGAGTCCCCGTTGTAAAAAGTCTACACGCATTTATGTATTTTGTTGCGATTAACTTGCGACGGCTATAAACGACAGGGCGACGACGTCGCAGCCGGCTAGCCGGCCGCAGTCTACAGCTAGCGATGCCCAGAGATAACGATTGCGGTCCGTTTCTCGTCGAAGAATCCCCGAAACACCCGATAACTCACTCTGTACGATGATTGCGCAGCGAACTTTTTTGCAATAATGTTAAATATCTGTCTATATCGAACTGTCAATCACACTTTGGCGGCTCGGGCTGCGGCGCGACAAAGAATACGACTGTCGCTGGTCCGTTGCAGCTCCGTTACAGCCGGTCACGATGCGATTAGCAAAAAAAAAATGACGTAGAACGGATGCACGAGTTGCACACAACGTGCGTAAGAAATTCTAGTCCATCTAGAAACTCGCGGCGATACGTATATATTTCCTTTCTCTCTCTCTGTCTGTCTCTCTACCAATTCTCTCTACTTTATATATTATATATATATAGCTACACTATACGTACTTTCTATTCTCTTTACATTCTCTTCCCCCTTTTTTCTCTGTAAACTTCGTCTGTCTCGCACAGTCAACGGTCGTGTTAAGTGTTCAATATCACGAGAAGCACACGTTAACGTAAAACGGCTTAACAAGAACCGAAAGGGAACAGAAAAAAAAATAATACAAAAGTAAAACAGAACGGAAAATCGAACAGACGATTAAGAAAGACAGAAAAGAGATAGGACAAGAAAAGAAAAAAAAATACAATTACCATGGAATGTCACGTGAAGCTAATGATGTAAAACTGGATGTGTCACCTACTTTCAGACGAGCAATAGAACTCTGGTGCAGAATGTATCTGTGACAGGCAGATCCCCTTCTCAGGATTACTACATGGTTAGTCCGCAAGTCCACTATCATCCGCAAGTTTGATCATTGTTTGACCGTGTTAAATAATAATCTGATTAACCGTTTCTCTCTATATTTATCTATACGTATATATTTTCATCGTCTTTCTTTGGTTCCTCTGATATATTCTTCATTTTTTTTTGCGACACTTTTTTGATCGATATGTACCATGTACTATGATTTCCTACAAGCAGACCTTTTTCAGTTTTGCCTTTTGTGTTCTCTATCTCTCTCTATCTCTATCTCTCTCTTCTACTACTACTAACTACTACTACTACTACTACTCTACTACTTATCTGTCTCTCTACACACGTCTCACAATGTCTGCATTTTGTTTAACAAGTAAGTGCTTGCGGACTGCGAGTTTCGATTAATATTTTTCGCCCGTGTGCTTATTATATATATATACATATATATATTATTACATGCGACACCCGTCTTTGTGGTTGATTCTAAACCATCCTCCACAAATAAAAAAAAAAAGAAAACCAGAAAACCGGCAGCCAGCATATATATATCGGCGTCGAGCAATTTGCATCGCCATGATTATTGTCACTGCGGCAGCTAATTATATCGTTCCTGTTGTCTTTCTTTGTTTTTTTCTTCTTTTTCTTTCTGTATCACCACCGCACCTGACTTTCTCTCTTTCTCTCTATCTCTTTCTTTTTTCTGTGGATCCCGTGTCGCGTAATACGATCGCACGCATAAGATCCGATCGTATATCGCTTCTCTCCCGATGTCACCAGCTCCTCCCATCTTCCTGTGCCTCTGTCAAGCGAGACACTAATGGGGCGCATGTTCGGTAAAACACGCTGTCCGGTTCACGCGTGACAACGAGAGAAAAAAAAAGCAAACAGCCGGCCACCGCCCACGTGGTCGGACCGTCACTGGCTATTGTTGTTGTTGCCGCGAGAGACACGTTGATGGCTTTGACGTTCGATGGATATACATTACGATTACGACCGTTTTGGCTGCCGTCATACGCTTCTCTCGATTGCCTCCCACCATCGTGTTCAAATCTTTTTTTCTTTCTTTCTTACGTGTCTCCTCTTCTCTGTCTTTTCGTTCTCTTTCATCCCCCTCTCCCCCCATCTTTCTCTCCCTTTCTCTTTCTTCCGCGTTTTCTTTTCCGCTCACGTCCTCTTAAGGTGTTGCATGTACGTGTATATGTGCGTTCTATTATTTTTTTTCCCCTCTTCTTTTGGCGCGTTCGGAGGCGCTCGTCAGCTGACTGGGATCGAACGGTCAAGGGCGAGCTGCGCAGCTTTCGGAGTGACGTGATCAGAGATGTACGGCGCTAACCGCGGTGTGTGCTACCCGTTTCCTCGAAACAAGAGCGCTGTTCCGCAGAAATGTTAGTTAAGGTTGACTGAGGTTCCGGTGATTCCCAGTCAGATCTACGTCCAGCTGCAGGGTTCTGGCCTTTGCTCCCGGTACTGTCTCCGTCTCCGGGAGGAGACCGGAGGCTCCAGTCGAGGCCCCGGTTAACGTTAACTAACGTTCCAAGGAACGGCCCGCCAAACACTGGATATACACTGGACAAGTCTTCTCTTTTTTTTCGATCTGTGTTCGCTTTCTTGTGTGAGCATCGTTTTTTTTTCTTTCTTTCATTTCCGGCGTACGACTCGCTCAGTCGGCCGGCCCTTCTCTACACACGCGCCGTGTACATTCGCTTCCCCTTTGCCTCTCTCATTTCTTTTATTTGTTTTTAATTACTGCAGTGTGAGCATTGCTGTGATGATTGATTAACACGTGATGTACGATGTTATTACCGTACGTTGTAATATCGATGTGCGCGCGTGTGACATGTACTTTTTTTTTATTATTATTGTGCGTCTTTAACGTGCACAGTGTGTATGTATATATATATCTGTATATTCAATATATATTGCATTGTGCGTTCTGTACCGATGCGAGGGACAAACAACTCGCTCGGACACCGAAACGCGCGACGCTCCGCCAAAATTTCTTTCCGAAAAAAATACCAAAAAAGTACAATCTGGCGTTCGTACGGCGAGAGTGCGCGCTCGATCGCGCGTTTCTCGTACAATTCGGCACTACCGTTCGTCGAGTCTCACACAACTTTTCCCCCCGTACATCCCTCTACAGACGGTACATCGAAATTTCTCTCTACCCCGCGTTCACTCGAGTCGAACGCGAGTCAAACGCGTCAGCGATCGACAGCACACGTGTATCTGCGTTATCAGTTCCTCAAAATTTTTAACTCTATCGACTTTATCTCTCTTTCTCTCTATTTCCGATTCGATGCTCGCTCAGACGACTGGAGCCGAATACGAATCTTGGTGTCTCGTCCGTTTCTCGATGAGAGTGTCGCTCTGAGAAAGACTCGTCGAGATCTAATCGTCCAGGTATCCCCCGAGGTATCCGACGAGTTTAAGGGGATGCTGGAGTGATTCTGCACTTTTGGCACCTTTTGCTCCTGAAACGGTCAATTCGTGAAAGCATTTGTGTAATATACAAATTAGGTGGCTTTTGTGTACAGACCGATAGTGTCCCACTATTCAGATTAAGTGAAAGAACAACATGGTATCATTGAAAGTAAGTTTAGGAGCTTAACAAGAAGTCTATTCACTTGAATAAGTTATAGGTTACCTAACCGAACTCATTCGAGTGAATGGATTTTGTGTTAGTCTTCTAAACTTAATTTCAATGATACCACGCTGTTTTCTGATTTAGTCCGAATAGTGGCACACTGTCGTACACAAAAGCCACATAATTTGTATATTACACGAGTGTTTTCACGAATTAACAGTTCTAGGAGCAAAAGGTGCCAAAAGTGCAGCATCACTCCAGCATCCCCTTAAGGTAGTTTGCGTTTGGTTAACATCTCGCGATATTTATTTTAACTGGTGGGGGAAGAAAGCCAATGCGAGCCAGACGCAGGCGATCGTGCGAAAATGTCCAATATGGAACTTTTTCTTGAATTTGTAATTTAATCAAACGTTTCGACCCATTTTCGGGTCATCCTCATTTCTTTTAATATCCTTGTCCATTTGACGAGTCGAAAGAAGAATGCAAGGACGGCTGTTTAACGTTGATCGATGTTAAAAGTAAATCAGCAACTGCAGGCGCCTTTCGCCATCCGTGGAAGACGGTGTCTGATCAGCGGCGGTTCTTTTCACTTAGCGCCCGTGACATCTCGAGGCGCTTGCACGACGCGACACTCGAATCGCTACGACGACGTTGCACTTGGACGTGTTCCACGACTTCAGTCGTGCTCGGTTCTCCTCTTTCTCGATCTCTCATTTTGAAACTCTCTCTCGCTCTCTTCCTCTCTTTCTCTCTTTCTTTCTCTCGCTCTCGCTCGAGAGGGAGAAATTGCCTTTCCTCTGTCTCTGTAGAAGATTTGCAGCGTGAAAAGCGGTGAAAGAAACGCTAAGAAACGAGAGAGACCCGCGCGCCACGTGGTAATCTGTTCGTCGACACGTGTGCGACACGCGCACAGGAGGGAAAAGAAACAAGAAAACATGCTCCTACCCACTCACACTTACACATTGTCACACACATGCGCGCGCGCGCACGCACGCACACACACACACACACACACACACACACACACACACACACACACACACACACACACACACACAAAATACCCACAAAATGTACCAGAGACGAAAATGGAGAAAACGCGATGGAGATGGTCATTAGCGAACGCCGATGCAATCCGCGTAAAAAAAAGAGCTACTAATTGTGCGCGCTGAAAGCAAAAAAAAGTAGTGTTTTATTAGCGAAGATGTGAAAAAAAGAAGCGAGTGCCGAGACTGATGGTTATAATTTGTGGTTTGTTAGCCAGCGGAACCCATTCGAGAGACTGAGGTATAACGGGGCGGCAGTTTTGCCCGCCGCCACACTTATCCTGTCGGAGTACAAACAAGTACGTAGCTCATGTAGATGATCGCCTGCCGTACACATAATACGTTGTTATAATCATCAAAAACCCGCCAGTACGCGTGTACGCATATATATTTTACCTTACTACATTATAATATCGTCATACACGACGGATCGTCGACGTGCGTAACACACACCATGTGCGTGCACGATGGAAACGTCTCGCCGTCTTGATCTCTCCCTCCCTCTCTGAGTCAGAAATTTTTTCGCATTTTGATCTCGATGCTCGGGAGCGGCTTGCGGATCGCCCGGGGCCGCCTACGCGCCAACGGGAACGAGCCTCCACGAGCGCGAATTCGATCCCAATATTCCAATATCATACCCGATGTGATATCTTAATATTTGGATCCCGGTGAGGAACGTTCCCGGCGCCACGGTGCGGTCCAGCTCCTCGAGATTCCAGATCGCTTTCGATTCCCGCAGCGATTCCAGATCGCTCTCTCTCTGCGGGGATCGGTCCTGTGGAAACCGATCGGTTCTAGTAACTAGACGGAGACTCCGGACTCCGATTGATAATGACGACGACGATGGCTACGACGACGACGAGGTTCGTCGTGGCGACGATACCGGACGCTCTCCCGTCCTCCCGAGAGGCGTCGTCGGCGCGTGTCTCGGCGGCGATGTCACGACGGCGACGATTCGAGATGCACGGATTACTATTACATTGAACGAAGTGTTACGTCACACTAATGTGTTTTCTTTGTGTAGCGGGGGGTGTGGGTTGCGGTCGGTGGGCCCTCCCCCGTCCGTCGGGGACCGCGACAGTACCCGGCAGATCCACCGGCCCGCCCGCGCTTTCTTTTTCTCAGTAGCCTAGTGTCTGAGTGTGCTGTGTGTTTCTGTATCACCCCCTGTCCCTCTCCAGCCCGCCGCCCCCTCGTTCGCTACCCCTTCGTGTGTGTAACTTGGACGCGATGGTTTCGCGTCGGTATCACTGCGGACATATCGAGTGTCGTTCACTTCTTTGTCTGATCGATCGTACATTTTTCACCTCTTTTTATTTCGTTCTTTTTTTTACTTTTTTTTTGGTAGCGTCACCAGTTCGTTTATTGGCTCGTTCGTTCGTTCGTGGGTAGATCGTGCAAAATCGTGCCGACTTTCATCAACGCGAGTGATGACACCAAATAGCTTGTCCCTCCTCCTCTTCCTCAAACACGTCTAGCGACTAAAAACCGAGCTTTCTCCGCTTCCACCCATCGTCGGTCGGTCTTACGGTCTTTCCTCTCGACGCCGCAGGAACGCCAGGAAACAGCGTGTGCGTCGATTTTGACTTTTTTCTAGGTCGGTGGTCGATGTCGTAGTAACCCTCGAGAATTGAGGTAACGTGTCGTAGATCTCGATGGTGTGCTGTGTTTATTAAGTAGGAAGAAGGGTTGCAAACTTGTATGAAGTAGCATTGCTGCATCGTGCGCACAGTCCTTCTCTCACGTGGCGGTGATCCTTGATCCTGAATCCGTCTCTGCGAGTCGATATATTGCCAGACATTACACGTGACTCTCTCCGAGAGAACAGTCTCGTTTGATGGGAGGCTCAATCGAGCCGTTAGCGAAATCGATCATAGTCGCTTTCAGCGGATCGGCGTGATTTATGTATTTATTATCACTCGACGCGTTTGTGCACTCACTTGAAATTCTCAGTCGTCCCGCGTAAAGTTCTTTTCCGGATCGACGCGACGACCTGGAAACGCAAAGTGCTTTCTTACGCGGTTTAATATCACGCGCGCGCTCTTCTCGAGAAGATGATCGGGGCGTCTAATTTCATTCTCGCTTGGTTTCTCTCGATTCAGTAAAAGCTTGGCACTCTCAATCGGTCGTTCGATGCCTCTCGCGACGGATAGTCGCCGAGCGAACGCCGAGACAATCCCTCCCGTGGCTGTGCTAAGTATTTTTTTAAATGTTATTTTGTCCATCGCTTTTGTACAAATATTTCAGAGGAGTGCAAGAAGTATCGATAGAAACGAAGGTTTCTGCGAAAGACGGAAGATCGCCGCGCTTAGCCACGGAAAGAGATAACCGTTGTTGTATCCAGTTGGAATCTCCCGTCACCTCCTCTCTGTTCCCTCTTTGTTAGCGTGCGAGTGTGCGCGTGTGAGTGTGTGTGCACGGTTGGCCAATTTATGCATCGACTTTATTTTTTGTTTGCCCGAGGTCTAACACCACCGTTTCGTATCGAGTGCCAATTAGAGGGTTTAACACTATGTGGTCTGTGTTGTTGTGAAAGAAAAAAAAAGGACCTCGAAACAATCTCAATCGCGGACCAACATCCGCGCGACTGTCGGCATGCATCATTCGCGATTCCGATCGCGAGAGCAGAGACGCCTCTTCGCGCATCAGAGTGCTCGGAAAAGTCAGAGCCAGATCGAGCAGATTCGAGGTGCAGACACGAAAGAAGGAGAATCTCCTCATAAATCCGCGGTAATAATCTCACCTGAGATTCTCACTCGTGTTCCTTTCAACTCTAGTCTCCTACATTCCGCTTCTTCGAGTAGAACTTTCGTTACCTTGAATGGCCCTGTCTCTGATCTGGCCTTGACCGCATTTTTTTTCTCTCTCGCAGACACGCAGAATGTCTTAAACACGTACTCCTACAACAGAACGACGAGAGACCGTTTCAACCAGCTCTGAACCGTCTCTCCGGATCTTTAGCAAGAGAACATATCTGATCACAGCGTATGAGACTTGCGTAGTTACGTAGAAAAACGTGTTGAGTGTTGAAACCGCACACAGTGTGTCGAAACTGGCTACCATACGTGAAGCTACTACTACCGCGAAGATTACTTATACGTAGGAGAAGCAACTAATCCACCCTGTCTCTTTATCACGAACGTGCATCATATCTTAATCTCCGTTAGTGCTCCTTCGCTTTACTTAACTGTTATTCGTACTACACCAACATCACCAACCACACTGTGTCTGTCTCTGTCTGAGCTTCTGTCTTACCCCTATTATACACTCTGTTGACACTCCAAGCCGTAGAGGAGCGGTTACAAGCGTGCGAATGCCTCGGCAGACTCGCTCGCGAACGGTTCAGGACTGTTGCGGACCATTCCTAATTGGGTAACTATTGCGAAACCGTTTGGACCCGCGTTGGCACCCCCGTAGCCGCGAAGCTCTGCTCGTTTCCCTTTCGCGTCGAAATTAATCGCGGAGCGATCGCTAATGAGAAGGAGCTGGTCGTCTATGTATTTGTTTTTGTTACAAATTTTGTGTAATTACCTCATGGATGTTATTGTCTATACGTAGTACCTATCATTAGTAAAACTTTAGTAATTTTTAATAACGATGGGAACTACGTGACGATTAGAGGAATTACATTTTTCGAAATTGTTGAAAGCGAGATGCAGCTTAACATCGATCTCGATGACGCAGAGAAATGGATTCGATTTATATTAGGTTGCATTTTGCGAATAATTGCAGTTATTTTTATTGTATATTTTTTCGGCTGACGTACAGTAACGCCGAGTAAATAGACCAAAGGTAATGTGCGATAGTAATAGTCTGAAAACTATGATCTACGCAAAAGACTTTCTGGCGGGTCTTTTATTATATTTAAAATCATCGACTTGACTTAAAATTTGGCTGAAGTGATTTATTGTCCTTTTCTAGAAATGTGAGTCAGAATTAAACGCTCGCTAACGCAGCCGACAAAGTCGGACACTATCTAAGCAGATAAGTGCGAAAAACACTTTAGTCCTTCCTGCCACAATCACCGTTACAATATCCCGATAGTTGCTTCGTCGATGTTCTCGTTCGCGATCGCTTCCGGTCAATCCTAGATCGCAAGGGCCGATGACGCTCGTTATTAGCGTCCCTAGCACCTTCGTCCGAAGTGACGAAGGGAGGCTCTCATCTGCGAGGACGTCCGCGCGTCGTCCGCGTTCGGTCGTGTTGGTCCCCGATCCGATGATCACGAACTCCATCACGAAACCCCACAAATCGCCGTGTGTAGGTAGGTACGCATAAAATTGACGTAGATTGCGCATGCGATGGCGATAACTGAGCCCGTATAACTCTAGCTTGCACTACTCGGTGGTACAGCGAGATCGTAGGGGAATCGAACGCCCCGACGTTATTGTAATAGTATCCCTCTCGTTTAGCTCAGTTTGCCCCCGCCGTTTAGCTCACGAATTCGGGTGAAATGCAACCAAGTCGACAGGCGAAGGAACTCACGTCACGGACAAAAAGAAAAAGGAGAGATAAACATTCGCGATTACTGAAAAAACAAGAATTAAAATAAAAGTTAAACGCATCTGTATAATCATAAAAACACGACTACAGCTACCAGAACAACGACAAGACCAGAGTACGCCGACACTCGGGGGACACTCAATAAAGATAAAAAGGGGACACACCGTAACACACCTCTGCGCGAAAAAAAGAAAAACAATACGAATATACGGCGTGCTTGTGTGTTGCTGGCTTGCCTCCTCGCTTCCTGATAGAACGTCCTTCCCTGTTTTTGCAGCTTCGAGTAATCAGAGCGTTCAAGTCGACTCTGGAAGATCTGGAGGAGCGTCGCTCTGTCCATAGTTTACACAGCTTACACAGTATGCGCAGTTCACGCAGCCACACCGGGCCCCGACCACTCTCTGACTTCACATACATTGACGAAGACCCGACAAACACCACCACCACCGCGCAGAACGCCGCCTACAACAAGTCCTCTAATAGGAGTGCCGAGCCGATGATGAGTCAGGATTACGAGACAAACTACAGAGGATCCTCCAGGATGCAACAACAGTCCCTCAACAGCCCCGCCTCGCCGTTGTTGCTGAGCGTGACCGGGCCGGCCAACGCGTACAATCATCATTACACCATCACCAATACCATCACCGACAATAGATCCCCCTCTAGTAACGCCCTTAATCAGCCCCTGAGTCCCAATCACATGGCGCCGATGAGCAGCAATAGAGACAACACCGGGAATTCCCTGCTTCTGAGTTCCAACAATTTGGTCCTACCGGAGCTGACCAAGCTCGTGCACGAGACCAGCATCTAAAGACTTCTTCTCTCTTCTCTGTGTATCGTCTCATTCCATCCCTTTCCATCCCCCCTCTCCATCTTCTATTTTTTTTTCCATCGTCGATTCGCGATCCAGAGCTCATTTCATTTCATCCCCTCGTCGTTTCTTGCTTCGAGTCTATCTGTCCGTCCCTTAATTCGATATCCCTTATTGCGTTCCCTCCATCCGTCATTCTTCTCTCCCTCTACTGTGTAGAGGGATTTGTACATATTCTGTCCCTGTAATCTCTCGCCCTCGTATGCTTCGCGAGATCTCGCTCGATCCTACGACCTCATTCGATCGGTAAAGAGAAGGCAGTATCATCGTCCACGTAAACGATATGGACTCATTCTCGTTCTACGCGTTCACCATCTACTTCTCTGCTTTTAAAATACGTCTCGTCATTCGTCTCTATTTCCGCCACCTCTTTTCCGAGAGCGTACTTACCGGAACGATCTTGCTCGTTTCGGTCGCCGAGTTCTCTGTCCTCCTTGATTCTTTCTTCCGCCGCCCCTCTCTGCCCCTCTGACGAAAAACTTTTTACCACTCGCTCAACGGGGACGGCGGACCTGATCTGATCTCAAAGGGGTCGAAACGCGCCAATTTGGAGGATGTGCCTACACACACGAACAAAGCGCGACATTCGCAAATCGCGAGCTCTTGCTAAAATCGTACGCTGTACTTAAGGCGCGAGCGTGACTCGAGGAGGAAAGGAGGGAGGAATGGTTGCCAAAATCGAGGGGAGATTTTACTCCGCGGGTATCGCGATAGTTTGCGAATGGCACGTTCTCGTGCATGGGCTGTACACACACACACACATATATATATATATGTATATATGTGTGTGTGTATATCAAATGGTATACAGGGGTCCTGCTTTCAAGCGCTTCTTTCCCGTACCCCGACTCTGTGTTCATCGGGTGAAAGTACTATTTTCGCATTTTGTAGGGTAGCGTTCTGGGGTTCATCGTTCGTTGAACGACGGGCTGCGACGCGACTGTGCCAGCTGTAAAAAAAAAGGGAAGGGAAGCGCGAAAGCGGAATCTAATTGACGCGCAGCTCGCGTAACAATACTCTCAGACACTCCTGAAAGTAATTAACGCTAATTAATTAGTTACTTTGTAACAGTTACTTGTGTCTTTTATCACGTCGTAGCTTGACGGCAGATTTTTGTCTCAAGTAGTGTATTAAGCGGAGAGACATTTCTAAGTGCTACCATAAGATATTAATAAACAGGATGTTCACTTTTTTAAGAGTTTTTTCTAGATAAAGATTTTGTACGTTCCATTGAAATGGCAATCGTGTCAAACAGCAAACTGTCGCAGCCCGTGTAAAGTCTGATATTAAATATAAACGACCAAATCGATTATCATAGAAGGATGACGATTGTACGACGATGTCCGTACATGAAAATAGTATTTTATCCGTATACTTGACAAACGTAGACGGCGCTTAAGTGCTTGTCCGCTTATCAACCGACCTCGTACAACCGTTTACTTATTTATCTACCTATCTTATACTACTGACCAATAATTGGTGACGAAAATGACTTAACTTTACTTTATGACTATGTGCTGATCTATTATTGTACAGAAAAAATTCTAGATAATGTCTATCTTTCCCTCTTGTGACGAAAGACCATTTTTTTCTTGTTAAGTAGTAAGAGTCTATTAATAGCAAATTTTATTATACGTCCAAGATAAGATAATTTTTTTCTAAATTAATTGTCTATTCCAAGAAAAACTGTCCTTCATCCGAAGAATCTATTCGTACACAATGTTTCTTCCTTTCGGGAAGTCTCTTCGCTCGAGCGTTCGCCAATTTGACGGTCAGCAGTGATCACCCGTCACTCGTTTGCTTGCCTGTTTGAGATTGAATGTGAATGTGTCTGTTCGTTCGATGACTGCGCGATGCGACCGATGACGATCCAACGGATCGTCGAGGACGACAAGGACGTCACGGACGATAATCTACCTCGACAGAGATAAATCCTCGCGGACTAACACTTCTAACTGCCCTTCGCGAGTGCGACTAACAAAGAAGAGAACTTATCTTCCGCCCCCGGCCCGAGGGGGAATAAAAGACGCGCGTTTCGACGCCGCACGAGCGACAGATAATCGCTCGATCGCGATCGACAATCGAAAGGTATCCGAGAAGGTGTCCATTTACCACGAATCTTCTCGCGTATACGCGACGTCGCGTCGGAAAACGTATACGCGACTCGAGGCTGAATGTACTTACATCTTCACCGTCACGCCTCGATCTCTTCTATCTTCACAGCTTCACCGTCACTCTCGCGAGCGGGCCTGGTCCACGTGTCGCTGGTCCTCAAGCAGAAAATCAAGAATAATTAGACTTAAGGGAGTTAGAGCCGAATTTTTCGATAAGGTACATCCATCTAATTTTAATCGCAATCGATTTTTATAAAATCCAATCTATTCTTTCCAACTTATATATTTCAGAAGTATACTAATATCTTTGACATCTTAAATTATTCTCTAATCTATAAAGAAAAACTTCTAAATGTGCCATAGAGAAGACGAATATCCTAAATAGAAGTAACTTACTATTTCTCATGTTTATCTTTATGGGAGAAAATTTAGCGCTTACCTAAACGTGTGATTTAAATATAGGCCGCTTCACGATTCATCCAGCCCCGTCTCGAGTCCTTTCTTCTCGGCGTGTCTCCTTTGTGACTACCTTCGAGCATTCATTCATCTCCCTCTGTCTCTTTTTCTCTTATCTGTGTCTCTTCTTGGCTGTCTCGAAGAACCAAATTCCGCCGGATGATCCAAACGGATAGGACCCAATCTCTTTCTTTCTCTCCTTTTCTCTTTTTCTCTCTTTCTCTCTTTCGACTACTCGAGACGAATCGCGGGGGCTCAGAGCGTTGGGAATCGTCGTCCGACAGAGAAATCCCGTCCCCACTTTCTCGTTCGAGTGAAAAAGAAGAAATAAGAGAAATAAGTAAGAGGAAAAGTTGTCTAGCCGAAAGTACGATGAGGAAGGAAATTAATGGTGTGACCGCAAACTATATGCAGGACGGTTACCGCTCGTTATCAATGTTCTTTGCCGAGCGTCGAATGTGACCGAACGGCGAATGAATATATATATACACGCGACGACGAGATGTATGACGATGTCGTTATGGACGGAGAGACGGAGGAGCATTCTCGCTCTCGATATTGTAATGTAAGTTATTTAATTTTACTCAACTCGTGTCAACGCGCGCGCTCCTCATTTATTTATGAATCTTGTAACTTAAAGACGAGGGAGCCCCCGTGCCGCGGGGGGTTGCGAGCGCGATCTTCCCCGATAAAACGCGCCGACCGAGATTCGTCGTCGATCGGCATTTCCAGGGAATCGCCACCGCGTGAGTTTTCGTGGTCCCGGGATGACGGAGACCGACGCGCGCAATCCCGACAGGGGTTGCCCAAGTTCCGGCGCCGTTTCCTTCGCTCCTTTCAACCGTTGTGCGCGAAACGAGACGTACACTTTCCCCCCCGTCGGAAAATTCGAATTTACGTCGGTTTCGATTCCCGCTGGTTCGCCACGTTCCATTTTCCCGCGAGGAGGGGAATATCCTCCGCTTGGAAACGAAAGAATGTACTTAAACCGTCGGATCTCGTTATCTACGTTGGCTTTATTTATCCCGCTGCCGCTCCTTCCTCGGTTTTCTCCGTCTTATCTCTTTGTGTTCTCCGTGTCTTCCTCGAGACGTCGAGGCCACTCAAAAGGCGGAAAGGTTTATTTTACAAATGTAATTTATTTTACGTGATAAGGTTAATCGACACTGGGATAATTGTGACTACGCGACATTTTCCAACGAATTAAACTTTAATATCGATATTAAAGTTTTCAGTTTGTTCGTTAGATTAAATATTTTCAATGGACTCATTTGAAATTTTAATGTTGGAAATTATGTCGCGGTGCCGCGATTATCACTGTCACGGTTATCTTCCCCCTCCCTCCCCATCCCTCTTTCCAGCCTCTCGTTCGAGGATTGACGAGATACGCGAGATTCGATCGCCGGAAGACGGAACGTGGGATTGCCGAGGATCCTTCCTACTTTTTGTTTTCCTCCCTCTTTCTTTTTGTAACCAGTCAGTAACTTAATTCGACAAATCGAACACGACAAGACGTCGTTGATTTTAAATGTGTCTGCTACTGCCAGCGCGTTAACCCACGTCGAGAAAAGTAAGGATAAAGATATACAAAGGATATACAAACACAATGCAGAACTAGAAGGAGCTGTGAAAAAAAAAAAGAAATAAAACACTTAGTCGTTAGGTCTTCTCCTGGTTGCGACGTTTCGGCCGCCCCTGTATAACGCGACGTAAGGGCCCCCCGCTGAGCAGAACACGAATACGAGTTCGAACGGGCCGACAATCATCATCCGCGCGATGAAATTGAAAGTTAAAGAGCTACGCACCGTATAGTACAATTAACATAAGATACAGTGACACGATTGATCTAGTGTAGGCGAAATCGAAATTTCAAAGTAATCGCGAATGATCGAAAGTTGGACGGGAAGATCAATCGTCGAGTGACCCAGGTATCTCTTCGAGATTCAAATACGAGATGTCCGACGATGGGATCACTCTTAAAAAATCAATATTGATCGTACACGATGCTCGACGGGTAAAATTATTATCTCTTCTATGTAACAGGACGCACGTAACTTTCAGATTCGTACGAAGGGACTTCGTCCGAGTAGTCAAAATTTGAGAAGGATTGACAAGACACTGCTTTCGGTAGCGGTCGCAGGAACAATTTCCCGGACGCATCGGCGGGCGGTCCTTATGACGTGGGCGCATAAATCGAATCTTGGTGCATGCCACTCCACAATTACTTCAGTAGCATCGAGTTAGAGAGTTCCGTTTGCTCTTGCAGTCGCGTAAGGTCCGTATTACATTACTCGTTATTACGCAATAATTTGTCGCGTGCACGCTAATCAACCTGATGAAGTTGCGGAGACCCCGGAAAGGGGAGGGGTCTGACGAACTCATCAGCGTGACTTTGTATTTCAGTCCTACACGATTCATCCGACGGATCTCGTAACTTCCTACTATCTGAAGATTTCACGATTCTTTCAAGCTTTCTTTTTTTTTCTGCAGCCAATGTCTCTGTTCGATGTTTTGTCCTCTTTAAAATTCACTAGGGGTGTCTACGTGAGTTAAAAGTGACAACGAGTACCGAAAAAAAAAACATCACGAAGGTTTCTTTTCTTCCGAGTACTGAAGTGAAACTAGGAGTGCAGGAGTAACGTGTCCGGCAAAAACTTCACTCGCGACAAACGTAATACGGGCCTTACGGAGCCCAAGCGCGCCGCAAAGCGACGCGATCTGTGTGTTCGGATCCGCTGGTCCCTGTTACCGGTACAATGTCGGCTCCCCTTCGGCCGGTGCGATAACGAAGAATCTCATTCACACTTGGCGTCGCTTCGCGCGCGAGTGCGCAATTCGTACGTGTCGCGGCTCGCGATAAGGCAACGCGCGCGTCTTGTAAAACTTGTAGCAGGTCCGCACACAAAGGCTGTGGGTCCGTATCGAATATCGCGATTTGTAGCAAACGAGAGAAGACATCCTGATTTTTAATATCGACGCATTATAGTAGTCTGTTACCGAAGAACTCTAAAAGCAGATATATATATATAATATATTATAAATATGTATAGTTGAACATCACTTTAACGATATGCATAGGGAATATATATTATTATTACTATTATTAATTATTATTATTGTTATATAAAATAAAGTTTAAGACAACGTTAATCAAATAACAAGTCCGATAATAGGAGACCAGCGGAGAGGGTGGTATCTGCGGATTTCTCTCGTTATACCCGGCCGCTTTCTTCCCCTTTCCTCCCTATTCTTCCCTCCCCCTTTCTTGTATTATTATCGTTTACCACCCCCTCCGCTTCTAAAAGCAGGCGAGCTACATCGAACCCCAATCTTCGATGAATCGTACGAATCGCTTTTAGCCTCTCCTGCGCGACGCCGATTAAAAGAAGAGAATAAAAGTAAAGAGTAAGAAGAAGAAGACAAAGATACGAACACGGTGGATTTTCAAGTGCGAATCGGTAGAAAACGGAAGAGAAGGGAAAGAGAATAAAATGTGTGTGTATATGCGAGTTAGGGGACCGCAGGCCACTGGTCCCGCGAAGACTTTTTCTCTCTCGACTCATAATTACTTATTCACGAAGAAAAAAACAAGAAAGCTGCACAATGATCGATGATGGTCAATAAAGCGATACTAAATCTTTTCCACGCTTGGCTTGTTGCTGAATCAATCTCTCTTTCTGTCTCTCTTTCTGTTTCTGTCTTTTTCCGTCTCATGATCCAAATTAATTATCGAATCACGTTCCATCTTTCTCCTCTTTCCCTCGTTACTCGCGATTCAATCCCCCTCCTGTTCGATCGTCGAAACGCCTTCGTTTTGACGATTCGTTCGCAACATCCCCGGACGACGCATGCTCTTCTTTCCGATCGACCGCTTTCGACGTTCAGGCCAGCTGGAAAATATAACAATGGAAAAAGTACTATATATTGCGATCGACTTAGACCGCGAGGAGAGAATCTACGGTGACCAGTTTCGGAATAGGACACGTTCCATTAATTCGCGCGACGATGCGTGTCGCTTCGCGAATAAAAATCTCTTCGTGCGGCTGTGGAGATCAACGGCGATCTATGTATTATTAGTACTGATTCCGCCTTAGTGAAACAATTACAAAAGAACGTCGCAGTGCGATCCACGTCGAGCCTTCGATCGATCGACCAACGGCGATCTCTGTCACTCTTTACATATTCAACAAAATATCTCTGCTAATTCTATCTTTCTCTCTCTTTCTCTCAATCTACACGACACTATGACTACTATATACGCACATGATCTTCTCGATGATGCCTTTGATTGACGTGTTTAATGCACAATAACGGGTAACGACGGAGATGATTTTTTTTTTCATTACCATTATGCGACGTCCTATGTCTTCGTTGCTTCCTGTTGTAGTCTAAGACGTTCGTCGAAATGCAATGTCTTTAGATCGAAATTGAATCTATTTCTTATCATTATATCTACTCTCGTTTCTATGTTTCATACGAAGTGGAATAGATGACAATTTTTCCCAGAGACACTAGCAATTTTGATGATCTCTGGGAACAAAGTAATCTCGATTATGTACAAGTGATTTAATGTGTTGTATGCTAATATTTGTATGCGAACTAATACGCAGATTGTACGTGAAAATTGGATCGAAATTGTCTCATTTGCACATTGCATTTTAACAAACGTCAATCGTTGCGGATCCTGTCGCCTGATTTCGATGGAATATTCAACGAATAAATTACCAATCTCGTCTTCTACTCTGAACGATCACGCATCAACTAACTTTGTGCACATCTTTTCTTCGTAATTCCATCTGCTCACGGACTTATACCGACTCTCTGTATATCTCTCTACGCTTGTCTGTCTACATACATTGATTTACTTTGGCACGGCACTCTCGCTCATACTTTGTCCCTTATCACCGAGGCCGAATTGCACCGACAAACTTTAAAAATTAATCCCGATTTGACGATTTTCTCTCTATCTCCGTCCAGATTACAATTCTATCCTTAGCGTAGTTTAGAAAAAGAGGTGAATGAGAGACGGCGATTGGATCGATCAGGATTAATGCGGTAATATTCTGACATTTGTCTCTCAGCTTGCTAATTATTTAAGAAATAATTACATCGTGCAATTATGATGGCAGGCTAGATAAAATGTGATCTTTTTTTTAAATAGATAAAATTGCCTACACAGTTGCTGTTTTAGTATATTTTAAGAACTTTTATTAACTAAGACGATTGAATTAATAATCATCTGTGATGAAGTTAGTTCGCTATTAATCGTCAAACACCAACAACATCATTAGCGAAATACAGAACATCGCAATGGGAGTCTCGGGCGGTAATGGTGCAATCGGCTCAGCTTCCGGATTCGATGCGCGGTTCGACTTGTAAAAAGAAGAAAGAACAGGCCACTCAACATAATTAACCACAATTAACGATGCACAACGTAATTGAATTTACGTCGTGTGTTTAAAATTGCGACTCGCGATGTTAACAAACGCCCTTCAGAAATACCGGGGATGTCTTACTGACAACGCGTTTCCGAGCGAGAAGAGTCCTAACACCGGTGAGAAGACGCGACACCACAGTCAATCAAATCCGACTACTCTCACAGCCACACTGATTACTTGCGCAAACATCAGCATTTCAATGAGACAAACCGACGAGAATGTGTCACCCTTAACCCTCAAGCTCGCGTTCCGCGTGAGAAACAGACGGAGCAAGGAGTTTGCGTTGATCTTCAATTGGTACGATGGAAAATATCGGCACGGAAAAATACAGCCTTGAGAAATTAGTTACGAAAAACATATAAAAGTGTAAGATTCGATATTTTCGTAATAAAGAAAGGAAAGATTTTGAGATGTAAATTTCAAAACTTCCACTTTCATCTTTTACTTCCATCTTTCGATGACACAAGTGACACAAGTATGGATTTGTTCGCGATATTAATCGCAATATTATATACGAGATATTTATTTTGGACGCAGTAGGCATATTTTTGTAACACAATACTTGTTACATTACAAAAAGATGCGCAGAATAAAATTTAATGTTATATTCGATTCTGAAAGGATATCATGAAATGACCATCCGACAAAAAAAATCTGTTCCATCGTACCAGTTAAGATTAACGAGCAAGATTGAAGTAATCTGCATTTGCCAAATGTACATATTTATTTGTATAGAAAATGATGAGATTGTGCAAAAAGATTTCTAAAGTTTCTAGAGCTACTCTGTTCGATAACAAATTCGTATGTCTCGCAAAAGGATTATTTGACACGCGTGCAATATTAGCGCAAGAATTAATCGTGGGAAAGAGAGGGGGCCGAGATATCCGAGTCATTTCATTATCTTGGTATCCTCGAGAAAGGAATTAATTCTTACGCGAGCAATATTGCAGCTGACAATTAATCGATGAATTCAACTAGAATTTCGAACTGAACGCGCGTCGCAAAGAGTGAAGCGAACGAAGCGAGAAGCGAATGTGTGTCGCTTGAGGGTTGAAGAAGTGGTTACGCGCGATCCGATCGTTCCACCCTGTTGTAACCATTATGTTATCCTTTACTCTTGAAGGTGATAGGTGGCGAGTTGCAGGAACGTTTGATACCGGTACCCTACAGCAAGAGTTCGACAGACCAAGCTGTAAGCGCTCCTCTCTCTTGCTCTATCTTTTCTTTCTTTCTCTCTATCTCTATCTCTTTCTTTCTCTCTTTCTCTTTTTCTGTCTCGATCTCTTCCTTTTCGCTCTCTGTGTCACTCGCCCGTTTGCTCGCTCGCAGCTGTCTTTTGACTCCTA